TTTTTCTGTTTTAATTTTTAACTGTGTCAAAAAAAGCATGCCAATTACAATTTTCGACTGGCTAACATTAAATGAAAGCGAAGCACACTGATAAAAATCGGATCGAATCAGGTTGAAAATGGGTGCTTTTCTAGCGATGCTTTCGATGTGTGGTGTCTATTGGCTCCCAGTCGTACGGATATTCCCGCAGATGCTCGTGAAGCAGAATATTTCGCAACTTCTGCAATCAGCTTTTGGGCATGATTCAAATTTGTATCTACTTATTCGAAGTTTTTGTTTATCTCAAAGTCGGAGACATTCAATGACAAAAATAGCCGTAGGACGAAAATCAGAGATGAATAGTATCCGTTTTGCAAGCATTTTTACAGTCAGCTTTTCTCATCTGTTCCTAACATCGAAAGTGCTATTTTATAATCAACAACGTCTCTTCTTCAAAACGTAGATCCGCACGATGTTAAAGACGTAATGCGCAAAATGAAACCAATAAAAGCAACGGAAATAGATGGACTTCGTTTGGTGAAATTTTGAGTCGATTAAGGAAAAACACAGTAAAATTAGGGAGGCAGTTTCCCCGGTACCTACATCCAAGAATTCTAACTGATTGACAATTCAGGATGACAGTGATACTTCCAAAAAGTGCTTTCGTTTTATTATTTTTAAGTGCAACGGATACACTGCTGCCGCCTTAACCTCATTCTACTTTCATTCTTCCAAAAAAAAAGTAGAATTTCGCGGAAAGTGTACAACGATGAAACAATAGCTGATCCAAGTGCCAAATCTTGAATTTGCTGATCATGCGGTTGTGATGCTCATAGCAAAAGTACTAAGCGCCATTTTGGATTTTCAAAAATTGCTAGCTAGGAGAACGCGTTGAACTTGAGTCCTCACACAATTGAGAAAACTTCGTGTCAGAGGGTCCACTAAATTTCTTTTGCTTACTATTAAAATGAAAGTAAATTATGCACTTTATAGATGTAATCGTAGTCTGGCCTGCTCCTCTTGTGTAAACTGGCAATGTATTTCATTATATCCACATAACTCTTTGGACAGGCTCGCATCAGCTTGTGCATACCGTCGTTCGTTCGCACACTTTCCTCAAAACAGAACAAAATTTGATTAGTTCTGCGGCATTACCCTCACCACTACGTTCCAGATTACTGTAAAATTCCGCCATCTAAAAATGTACTCTTGCCCAATGCATTAAACGCAGGAACACGCCTGTGAGTGGAAAAAAAAAAAAAACAGAAAATTGCCTGATGTAAAGAACTCAAACAACTTAAAAGTCTTGTCCAAAAGGTTAGTTGTCTTTGAAACATCGCAGCACTGCTACTTATGATTACAGAGAAATGTAGCGATGCTTTGATCAGTTGTAATTCAACGCTTGGATCTCCAGCTGCTAGCAATTTTTCTAGTTGATCTACTAGCAATTTTTCTAGTTGATTTGACCAACGCTGCATCGCCTGATGGTCATTTGTTGCCAATTTTTGCGTATTCGTTTCGTCTACTGAGGGAATTACTATCTCAATGGGTCTTCCCATAGAAGAACTTGAGCAAAGCTGTACCTAATAATAAAAGGTAAAAAATTTTTGAAAATATTGAAAATAAAAACTTCGAAATGGCGGCGAAAAAGTCCAGCGAGTTGGTTCCTGGACGAACTTACTTTGGCGCTTATAATATCCAGTTCGTCTTCAGCATTTTTCCATGGCAGTACTCCTTTAGTAAGTTCCACCTGTTGGTACATCCACGATTCCAGATCATCGCGACGGCTCGGTGGACGCCCCAGGTGACTTGCCAGTGCCGCATAACGCATTGTTCCTTTGAAACTCATGTTCTTCTACAAAAAATCTTTGAGTCAAAGATTTGTCCGCAGCCCGTTCAACAGTGGAAATGCCCAGAGTTTGTCGTCGAACTAAATAGTTTCTTGTTAAAATCTATGCCAAAAATAATGGTTGAGAAATTGAATATAGTGAGGCACACATAAGTTTGCATGATCAAGGGTTTTAGGCGTGTTATCTATACAGAACAATGGTCTGATGCCGATGTTTTCCTGAATCGAAGAAGTCAGCCCTTGGAAAAAGTCGGTCAGCTCAATGGCAATTAGACAAATGATATCGAGGCTGGATAAAAATTAATTTAAAACTGAGCTTTCCTGAAACAATTTCAAAAAACATCTGCAAGCTTATCTGATTAACAGTGCACAACTTATTAATAAATAAATGTTGTTTCGGAGTAAGTAAAACACTCAGTTCACCATGGCACCAAAACACTGGTGCCATAAAGAGGTACCGCCAGAAAATGAAGCAGGAAATGGTGCCGAAGGAGTAAATCTGAAACGGTTTGCGACTCTTTAATTTTATTGAGTTTGGAAATTAGACCTCACTAGCACAAAAATAATGGATTTGTAAGATTTCCCTTCAACACAGTAGTCAAATAAACTAAAA